ACGCTCGACGGGGCCCCTCTGAGCTACAGAATGGCCCTGAGTAAACGACAGAGTCCCCTAAGTGCATGAAGGGGCCCTCTGATCACTTGACGGGCCCCTGATCGCTTGACGGGGGCCCCTGATTGCTTGACGGGGCCCTCTAAGCCAGAAAAGGCCATATGAGTACGCGACAGAGCCCTCTAAGCAAATGAAGAGGCTCCTGGTTGCGCGTGACGGGGCCATCATATCTTAAAGAAGACTCTCTGAGCATGTAAAGGGCCCCTGAATGCCTGGCAGGGCCCTCTGAGCGACAGAAAAGCTCTGAGCACACGAGAGAGCCCTCTAAACGCATGAAGGGGCCCCTGCTTCCTTGATGGGCGCCCTCTGAGCACATAATTAGGGTCCCTGATTGCTTGACGGGGGCCCTTTAAGCTACATAAAGGCTCTCTGAGTACACGACAGGGCCCTCTGAGCGCATGAAGGGCCCCTGATCGCGTGATGGGGCCCTCTGAGCTACATAAAAGCTATCTGATCATATAAAGGACCCTTGAAAGTTTGGTAGGGCTCTCTAAGTGACAGAAGGGCACTCTAAACGCATAAAGGGCCCCTGAACGTTTGAGGGGGCCGCCCCTATGAGCTACAGAAAACCCTCCACGTACACGACGGGGCCCTCTGTCCGCATGCAGGGGTCCCTGAATGTTTGACGGGGCCCTCTAAGCCATAGAAAGGCCATATGAGTACACGACAGGGCCCTCTAAGCGCATGAGGAGGCCCCTAATCGCACGTAACGGGCCCTCTGAGCTACAAGAAAGTTCTCTGAGCATATAAAGGGTCCCTGAGCGCCTGACTGGGCTCTCTGAGCGACAAAACGGCCCCCAGCGCTTAGAGGGCCCCTGAACGCCTGACGAGGGTCCTATGAGCTACAGAAAAGCCCTGAGTACAAGAGAGGGCCCTTTTAACGCATGAAGGGGCCCCTAATTCCTTGGTGAGGGCCCTCCGAGCACATGATAAAGGCCCTGCTTGCTTGACGGGGTCCTCTAAGGTACATAAAGGCCCTTTGAGTACACAGCAGGGCCCTCTAAGCACAAGAAGAGGCCCCTAATCGCGCGTGACGGTGCCCTCTGAGCTACATGAAAACTCTCTGAGCATTTAAAGGGCCCCCTGAACGTCTGGCTGGCCTCTCTGAGCGACAGAAGGGCCCCAGCGCTTAAAGGGCCTCTGTACGCTTGACGAGGGCCCTATGAGTTACAGAAAAGCCCTGCGTACACGAGAGGGCCCTCTAAACTCATGAAGGGGTCCCTGATTCCTTGACGGGGCCCTCTGAGCACATTATAAGGGTCCCTAATCGCTTGACAGGGGCCCCTCTAAGCTACATAAAAGCCCTCTGAATACACGACAGGACAGGCCTTAAAAGCGCCCCACCGATCAGTAGGGGCCTGTAACAGCCGCCTGTTAAATTTTTCAGCATTGGCCCTCTGTCGGCAATAGTTATTTGATCACTGCTAGAACCTATTTAACGGTTTTAGAGGGCCATTGCACGACTACCAAAAAGTCTTGAAAAAGTTCAGATTGGGCTCCTGACTGTGGGGTACTGGGTATATGCAGTACCCCACAGTCAAATGACTGTGGGGTACTAGTACCCCACGTACCCCACGGTGGCGCCGCCCATGGTATTCAGTCGTTGTTCAATTCAGTGCACACAGGTGTAGCTGGTGGGATAGCTAACAAAAGGTTAATGGTTGATAACGAAAATTGTGACAGCGTTATTATAGCCGTCCGTGAATTGTACCATCTCATACACCGGCGCAAAATGCTCAAGGCTGTGAAGGTCATATGGTGCACACTTCAGTCTGGAAACGTATCTACTGCACATAAAATCTGAAAACTTGGCCGCAAAAGATCAGCTAAAACATTCTGCTCGTTTGCCATCATCTATCATGACCAATCCGTCACAAACCAATGTCGGAACACTGCGTCCCGATGTCTTGATAGATTTGAGGAGCGACCAGAAACGTTTAGAATTGCTTTTAAAAATCGTATCGTCTACTAGATGCAGGACGTACTGACGATGCTTGGACGAAACAATGTTCTTAAAGGGTCCCTCCCACCTTCAAAAAGTTAATGAATTGGCATGGAAGTGATGTCGCTCGGTTCAGAAAGAGTGAAAACGAATATCTACCAAATTTCATTGAAAAATATTCACCGGTTTTCAAGATATTAGACTTTTACTTTTGTTTACTTTTTGGGATCTCCGCTGTTCCTAGCGGCTTTATTTGAAAGTGCGCCATTTGTTGCGCGCAAAGCTGCATATACCACCGCCACAGGGGAGCACTGCCGCTTCAACCCTATTGGCCGAAGTGTCTAAAGGCCGGGCTCCACTACGCGTTTTTTCCGTGCGTTTTATCCGAGACATCGGTTTTTGCGTGAAATCGTTCCCGAAAAAAAGTTCGCATCATTGCTCAACATTGGGCAAGCTACACTGGGATCGATGTCACGCAAAACACGACAACTTGCAAATTCCGTACCGATTTTAAGGAAATCTCGGTAAAACGCATGACGATGTCACGCAAACTCGGAAATATCGTACCCATAAAAAGTTCAATTATTTGAACTTTTCATCGGTTTTTGCGTGATCTCGGCCGGGAAACATGACTTGCGCGCTGCGGCAAGCAGTGTGAATGTAATTTTGTGTTTGTTTTTGACGTTGTTAAATATGTTTCCAATTCTTGTGTTGAAGCTAGGAAATTTTTTGCAGAAGTTTTTTTTTTAGTGTAAAGAGGATGAGTGAAGGTAAGACATGATAAACATAGCAACCCTACATATTTCATTTTGCACTTCCTAAAGCAGTGTCAAATAATGCAGGCGAAAATGGTTTAGTTCAAATAGAAATTAGCGCAGTGGTGATAGGTTGGTTTGGAATTAGGTAAATGAACTCGCTGCAACACTAGTGGACCGAGCTCGGAGGCCGGAGTTGAAGGGGGCCAATCGTAAAAATGAATCATTTCTATACATGCATTGCCCAGATTGGAAAAGACACATATGCCGAGTATGTCCTTCGTAGTGGCGGGATTGCGCCGAAAATTTCAGTGCACGTCTGGCGTAATTTCGCATGCGGCGAATTCAGTGCATGGTGGTCGCTGAATTTCACTGCGAATGGCGGTCATCAATTTTTTTTTTTCAGCACCATGGTCAATCTAGCAGCAGACTCGCCCTGCGAGCGGGTCTGAAGAGGGTCTGAATTCCGAACTTCCGTCTCGGGCCTTGTTTCACAGCATGACGATACCGTGTGCCATGACGCGTGTTGTGGTATTGGGTTTTCATTGGAACATCAACTAATTCAGACGCTCCAACAGGGGAGAGCGTCCGAGGCACCGGAACACTCCTCCTGGTTGATATAGCCTTGATCGGTAGATGTGCACAGTGCACACGCGCTTAATATGGAAAAGTGGATTAATTTGGCACAAATAGGCAACCAACTTTCAGGGTAAGTGATGCAGAGCCAGAAATTTCAGCTCAAAATTGCTTGTGTCGAGTTTCGGCGTGTGAGGGTCTCACGGGCGTACAAAACACCTTCTTTATAGGCGCAAAGTAAACAAAGTGTGATTTTCCGCGTAGTGGAGCCTGGGTTTAATGACAACAATGTCACGTGCTTCAGGATGACAAGCAAAAAACGATATCACGCAAAAACCGACAAATTGCAAAACCGATTTCACGCAAAAACCGATGTCTCGGATGAAACGCGCGTGAAAAAAAAACGCGTAGTGGAGCCCGGCCTTAACGGTGGCGGCCATATTGCGCAGACCAGGAACCGGCGGCCGCCTGTGTTAGGAAATAGGGAATTCGGGTCCTCGATTTACGTTTGCGGCCGCCGCATCCGTTACGTTCAAGGTACGTAGATACAGAACCCGGCATCTTACGCAGAATTGAGTGGGGAATACGATCAAATCATCAGAATTGCTCAAATTCACTCGCCAGACTATCGTCTTTCTACATTTGCCCCGGCCGAGAGGGTTGATTGAACCCACCTCGCTAATGCGCCGCTAATTCAACTAGAATTTAGCGGTAAAGTGGTCGTATGAGGCAGAGTACAATCCAGAGTGACTGGTAGGAATCCGCTTTAAAGGTTTTAGGTCAACCGGTGACCTCTGAGGTCAGTTCAAGTGACCTAAGGCACGGGCTCGGTTTTTGGTAAATAACTTCGCCAAAAATGGCAGTAGAGCTGCGATTTTGGCATCATCGTGTTCCCCTAGTTCAGGCGCATCGAGTGATATGCTTTTTGTTCGGATGAGGTCAATTTACGGCATTGACCTCGTGACAAGGTTAGGTCAGAGCTCTCAGGTCACGAAGCTGGTCGAGTAAGGTCATGTTGCATATCATTCGATTCGGCATGTCTTTCTGAGTCCATTTGTGGCTTTCCCGATTCGCTAGTTCAATTTGATCGGGAGTTATTAAAGAAAAGTTTATGACCCTTGTGACGTCACAGATGACGTCACGCAAGGGCAACAATGCAAATGTGAAGCATTGGACCTTGCAAGGAGTGCATGAAATCACGATTCTATGTATATGTTTGAGATATTTTCAGATCATTCCCGGCGCCAAAATAGCAATTTCCATATCTCCCCATTGACTTATAAGGCTTTAACGTATAAGTTCCCTGTATTTGAGGATTTTTAAAGATGTCATCTTGTTCTCCACTCAATTCTGCGTAGGATGCCGGGTTCCGTGTCTACATAGCTTGAACGTAACGGATGCAGCGGACGCAAAGGTAAACCGAGGTCCCGAATTCCCTATTCCCCAACACAGGCGGCGGCCGCTTCCTGGTCTGCGCAACATGGCGGCACCGTTGGACACCATCTGGCGGCCGATGCGCCTTCCGCATTATAGAGTTCAGTGACCACCGCATATAATAATCATTATTACCCGTGGAGGAGTAACTATTTTTCTGTGTGCAGCTGTTCTGGTTTGAGCCCCGTTTATTGCTGACGTGTGGCACTGACTGCCGGTGTCTGTCCGCTACGCAGGCTCCCTGGAACAGGCCATGATGGACGCCCTGGTCAATGACCGCATCGACTTCGTCAAGCTGCTGCTGGAGAACGGGGTCATAATGAGCAAGTTTCTCACGCTCGCGCGTCTCGAGGAACTGTACAACGCGGTGAGGTGGCGGGGGGGAGGGGGAAGGGGGGGTCTGACCAGACCCGGCGAGGTTGGAGCCAAGTCCCTATCTCACCTCATCTCATCTCATTTATTTTAACTCATCTCATTTATTTTAACAGAAAAAGACAAAATAAGTACAAAAGTGAAACAAACAGGATTGATGCAAAAGCGCAACGCCTAAATCAAGGCACCTCTCCTTAAAATAAACGAGGTTACAAAACATGACACCGCCGGGATCAACAAAGTGGACCAATAAAGTGTGAACTAACTAAAAGTACAATAAAGGTGAGCGATCACTCCTCCGCTGAGTCAGCCCCCGCCCCCGCCGCTCGCCGCAGTGCCATCGCCCCGACCACGAAGTCCTGGAAGAGCGCCGCGGCCTCCCGGCCGCCGTCAGTGATTGTGGTCATGTTGTGTCCGTGTATGAGTTTTTGGAATGGCCTGGCTACACTATGCGTTTTCTGCGTGCGTTTTTTGCGAGTTTGCGTGTTTTGCGTAATATTGTTCTAGAAACACATTTATTATTAATATAACTTCTTTAGTATTTATATAAAAAATTATAAAACGTTTATATTAATTAAAAGTTTATATGAAAAAATATAACAAAAACGTAATGTCGTTTCTTTCTAGAACGATATTCCGCAAATCACGCAAACTCGCAAAAAACGCACGCATAAAACGCATAGTGTAGCCAGGCTTTGAGGTCTTGAGGAGACAAATTTTGATAATGATTACCTAAGACCAATGAAAGTCGAGTGAAAAAATAGGTTCTGATTCATTGGTAGAGAGGGCAAGTTAAAAGGAAATGATGTATTGTTTCTGATCTGTCGAGGCAAACGCATTGAGGAGTGGGAAGTTTCTGGAGTTGGTACAGGTTGGCATTTAGTGGGAGGCTTCCAGTTCTTATTTGTGTATGATATGTGTTGCCTAATTTGGAGCCGAATGAGAAATAAGGATTGGGTTTGGGCGTGCCGAAATGTTTTAAGAGATCTTCCTTGAATCTTTTGCGTGAAGCTTGTGTTCTAAGTGAGTTGGGTAGTGTGTTCCATGTGCGTGTGGTGGCGGGGATGAAGGATCGCTGGAAGCTAGTAGTTTTGTTAGGGGGAAGTGTTAGTGCTGTGTAGTTTCTGAGAGTTCTGTGAGTGTCGGTGATACGTGTCTGTGGAAGCATGCATTTTATGTACTCTGGTTGTTAGATAAATAAAAGAAGTTGACCTTTTCCTCGACATCAAAAATGTAAAAAGCCGAATAATATATTTAAAAAACGGTGAGCTTTCGGCCACTGGCCTTTATCAAACCAACGTGATAACAATGTTGTTAACAATGTTGTAACAATGTTAAACCAACATTGTTATCACGTTGGTTTGATAAAGGCCAGTGGCCGAAAGCTCACCGTTTTTTTTAAATATATTATTCGGCTTTTTACATTTTTGATGTCGAGGAAAAGGTCAACTTCTTTTATTTATCTACACCTTTTTGCACTCAAAATAGGCATCTTTTCATTCAATTTCGGCGAATTGCATTCAATTTTAGCGATCTCCCTATTCGAAGCAAATGAGAGATCGCTAAAATTGAATGCAATTCGCCGAAATTGAATGAAAAGATGCCTATTTTGAGTGCAAAAAGGTGTAATTATATTCAATATGTTCCTCGCTCGAGCACTTAGTAATATTACTCTGGTTGTTGGTGAACTGTGGTGGTTAGCCTGTGACAGATGCTGTAGTCTGTGGAGCTGGCGTCGGGTCGGGAGTGTATCCCATCCCAAGTCATGTCTGAGGCGGTCTGTTGACGTCCTTAAACGGACCCCAGTCACTAGTCTTGCTGATCGATTTTGTACTTTTTCCAGTCGTAAGGCGTCGTTTACTGTTATGTGTCCGTCAAAAACAGTGTCACAATAGTCTAGGTGTGGTCGTACGTATGTATGTTGTGTATATAAGGTTAAGCGTGTCTCTATGAATGAATTTAGCAATGGGATATAATGGGCTTAATGCGATGTTTGCTTTCTTAATGATGTTGGTGATGTAGTCATGAAATCTTAAAGGTAGTGTGCCACCTTCCAATGATTTCCCATTTTATTTTTCCTAGGATAAGAAGCTTCTGTTTTTACCTCATATCGCAAAAAAAAATCAAAAATGGGCCTAAAATAGTGATTTTTTCGCCTAAAAGTTTATCGGTTTTTCGATATGTATAACAACTGTAGTGGGCTGACCTGCAAACAGGCGTCGGCAACAATCGCGAATGCGGCGCACATGTGACGATAAGCAAAGGTCATTATAGAGTTACGACGTACGGGAATGAGTTGGGGCATTCCACGATAGATCGACCAAAAAAACTTAAAATTTACACCCGCATATTTTATTTTTTGCTTAAAATTGGTCTATTGGGTTGTGATGGGCGGGGAACCCAGCTGTGGCAAGGATTTTTTTCTTCGAACAACGGTTTCCGAGATATAGCCTCGGGCAGTTCCTGGAGGTCACGCTGCAACCCTATGTTTGGCGGCTTATAACTCAGAAACTATTGGTTTTCTATGGTAAAAACTTGATATGGTTCAACTCGCAATCAACCAACAAACGTTTTATATGATTTCAAGCTTTTACGACTAGACATCTTAATTCAAGGTAGGTACGTTTTTCGGCTACTAGTCGTTTATTGTTTTCGTTTCGAATTTTCGACCTTCGCATCGAGGTCGTTGTCAAGAAACATACAACAATGACGATGACATGCATCGTGAACACGTTTGAAAAATAGTACGGTCATCATATCTAAAAACGTGCAAGTAATCCCTCCAGCTATTTCTGACCTGAAAATCTGTACCCAAAATTAATGAGGAAAAAAGTGTATGAATATATGAAGAATGAATGAATGGCTAACTGACGGACTGACTGACTGACTGACTGACTGAAGAAATGAATGAATAAATGAATGAATGAATGAACGCAGCACATGAGACACACAAATAGGCTGTGGCACATTAAAAATACATGCTTAAAATCTTTGATTGCTTGATCGTCGGATCTCGTTGCCCTACCAGCACTGATCCCATAAAGGACTGAAAGCGGTGCCGTCTACTCGGTTGATCGTGTCGTTTTTCTTGACGTGTATTTGTAGCGCTTCTTTCGTGAGTCGTTTCGTTAGATTGTTTTCGTTTTCGAGGACTGTCGTTTTGTTCCAAAGCGGTGTGTGTTCTCCTGGTTCGAAAAGGTGATCTACGAAGGCGCTTCCGTTGTGATTGCAGTTTTTGACGTCTCTTTGATGTTCCTTTATTCTTGTTTGCAGCTTCCGTCGTGTTTGTCCGATGTAGATTTTGCCGCAGTGACAGGGAATTTCGTATACGCAAGGTTTCTCTTCCGGTAGGTGTTTGTCTTTGACTGTTGATAATTTGCTCCTAAGTGTTTGGCTTCTTGAGGAAATGGCACATTCAATGTTGTTCTTTTCCAGGAGGCGCTTCAGGTTGTAAGTTAGTCCCTCGCAGTACGGTAGGACTGCTCGAGGTTTCCTGTCGTTTCGTGTCGTTCTGTGATCCGTCGTTTGTTCGTTCTCTCCGTTTTCTGTCGTTTGTGGTTTCGGCTCTGGTGTTCTTCGTTTTCGTGCTATGTATTTGTGTATCGTCTTCGCTGGGAAACCATTTCTTTTTAAGGCTCGAAGTATGTACAGGAGCTCGTCTTCTAGATGTTCTGGTGAACAAATCTTGAAAGCCCGGTCGACTAGTGACCTCACGACTGCCATCTTCGAGGCCTGTGTGTGATTTGAGTCCCACTGGAGATATAGATCGGAATGTGTGTCCTTTCTGTATATCTTGAAGCTGAATCCGTTTGTCTCTCTTCTGATTTTGACGTCCAGGAAGTCCAGCTCACGATCTTCCTCTTTTTCCATGGTGAACTTGATGGCGTCATTTTGTGTGTTGAGGTGATCCAAAAACCCGTCTAGAGTGTCTTCGCCGTGTTGCCAAATCACTAGAATGTCGTCGAATCACTGTTGTTGTTGTTGTTGTTGTCGAATCACTGTTGTCGAATCACTAGAATGTTGCCAAATCACTAGAATGTCCTTCCAGCAGACCGAAGGGGCAAGTATGGGGTCACCCTTGTCACCGGTAATAGCGAACTTATATATGGAGACATTTGAAGAGAGAGCGCTTGAAACATCAGAACTCAAGCCCAAAAAGTGGGTCAGATACGTCGACGACATTCTAGTGATTTGGCAACACGGCGAAGACACTCTAGACGGGTTTTTGGATCACCTCAACACACAAAATGACGCCATCAAGTTCACCATGGAAAAAGAGGAAGATCGTGAGCTGGCCTTCCTGGACGTCAAAATCAGAAGAGAGACAAACGGATTCAGCTTCAAGATATACAGAAAGGACACACATTCCGATCTATATCTCCAGTGGGACTCAAATCACACACAGGCCTCGAAGATGGCAGTCGTGAGGTCACTAGTCGACCGGGCTTTCAAGATTTGTTCACCAGAACATCTAGAAGACGAGCTCCTGTACATACTTCGAGCCTTAAAAAGAAATGGTTTCCCAGCGAAGACGATACACAAATACATAGCACGAAAACGAAGAACACCAGAGCCGAAACCACAAACGACAGAAAACGGAGAGAACGAACAAACGACGGATCACAGAACGACACGAAACGACAGGAAACCTCGAGCAGTCCTACCATACTGCGAGGGACTAACTTACAACCTGAAGCGCCTCCTGGAAAAGAACAACATTGAATGTGCCATTTCCTCAAGAAGCCAAACACTTAGGAGCAAATTATCAACAGTCAAAGACAAACACCTACCGGAAGAGAAACCTTGCGTATACGAAATTCCCTGTCACTGCGGCAAAATCTACATCGGACAAACACGACGGAAGCTGCAAACAAGAATAAAGGAACATCAAAGAGACGTCAAAAACTGCAATCACAACGGAAGCGCCTTCGTAGATCACCTTTTCGAACCAGGAGAACACACACCGCTTTGGAACAAAACGACAGTCCTCGAAAA